CAGGAAACCTAGACCAGCCATCCCCTCTGCGATCAAGCTGAATAATGAGAAACCTTACTGATACTCATCCAAGAGGTAAAAGAATGATCTGAAGACGCTTAGCGGCAATAAGATGCGCGCAGAAAAGGCCCGGGCTCATACTCACTGTGGCGCGCTTCTTTAGCTTGCCCTATCCTTCACAAGGAACGGCGCACCATTGAGAAAGGCACAGTAGTCATGAGTCTTCGCCCACTTCTGTGTCAATCCAGTAGTGCTGAAATGTGTCCTTGAGCACCGGCTGCTTTTCGAGATCATGGTGTGGATTAGTTGGACATGCGAATATACCAATGGTTCCGAATAAACGTTGAAAGCGTGGCGCATCCGGAGCGAGTTAGTATCGTATGACAGCTCCTCTTACTTTTTTAATAGCGACCTCGATGATCGGTGCGGTTTTGCCTTCTTGAAGCGTTCCAGCAAATATTTCGCTGAAATGTCCTTCGCCAATTTTTTCGCCTATTGTGATCTTGTTCCTCGTTAATTCCCATTTCTGCTTTGGAATTGGAGTTATCAATCTGGCTCCTCCTGGACCAATCGGTGTACCGCTTTCTTTGTGGAACCTTGAATGATGGAGTCGCAGTAATACTTTTACTGAACTCATGTTGGTTGTTGTAATACATAGACTTACTTAATTATTTCAATAATATCTGGATTTCGAAACATGCCATCTAGAGAGAAAAGACGATTCTCTCCTCTTACACGATAATGTATTGGTTGATCGATTACCTCCTTCCATTTCACTGTAACGCAGGGCTGGAAAGGAGACTTTGTTCACGAGCTTACATACGCATGGTACCTTATTGCGCATCAGGACCGAGTTGCGGTAGAGAATGAATGGCTTGTTCGGCCGCGTTCATACTTTGAGGCAGCTTCCACCAGCGACCATCAGCATTTCGTGCGTCAGCGACTAAGAAAGTGTAGATATCGATCTAGCAAAGGGAGCGTCTACCCGCGTCCACCAACGTCCACCAGCGTCAGCCAGCAAACATCAGCGTCTCGAGGGAGGGACTAGAAAAGTATGGATATCGATTTAGTGTCTACCAGCACTACCACGGTCCACCAGCGTCTACCAACGACCAGAGTTTAGGAGTACGGTATTGTGTAGTAGCACAGTGCGCTTGCACATGTCGCAATTTCACGACGCCTAGAAAAGCTGCCACCTCCCTCCTACTTCTCCATACTCTATCAGCAGTCTGCTACCCTCCTACTTCCCCATAACTTCCTGGTCGCTGAAGGTCGCTAGTGGACGCTGGTCGTCGCTGGTGACGCTGCCGCAAGGTATGAACGCAGCCTCACGGGCATGAGTGAGCTGGTCGTGCAACAGGACTCAAGTTATCTTCCCCTCACTTGTTTGTTTGAGAACTATCGTCCATTAGCACTAAGAGAAACCGCCTTTAAAATTAGTGATTTGATTTCAAGGAAGTCAGCAAATTGGAGGAGGATGGAGCTGTGTGAAGGAATAGCACTGAGAGATCTAACGATACCATACTTACCATAGGAGGCTTCTCTCCGACTGGATCTAGAGCTCTCAATAAGAAGTCACCATCGTTCACAAGAAGCTCCGCAATATCCTCGAATGGTAGAAACCCGTGATACCATTCCTGATTCTCCAGTTCCTAGATGGGACTTTTTTATCTTCAACTACTTTGAGGTTTTAGTCGGATAGAAGGAGCCCCGGAGCGCCTTCTAAGGTCGGCACGCGGCAAATTAGGCAGTTAGCAGGGAACTGCGGATGTGGAGCGCTGCTTTCCAGCCGCGGAGAAATAAGTCTGCAAACGGCCTGGCACACGAAGTATCTGCACCGGGGCTCAACCCACACAACATGGCAGTGCCGCTGGGCCTATCGATCCTACGTGCGACTGGATGTAACGGTTCATATTCGGGAATTGCCGGAGCCACAGCATTCTGCCAAATAGTTGTTTCCGGCGCAGTTCGGTTTGATGGGTGCACCGAATGGTACCCATCTGAGCTTGTACATCCTTCCTGTGAAGACCTGTAAATTCATATGACCAAAGTGGCTCACTCGCACCATTTCGCAACTTCACAAGGGTTTACAGGTATCGGTTAGATGAACACCTCTCATTGACATGAACTAACAAGACGAACTAGCAAACGAGATGCCCCTTCCAGGCAGCAGTGATTTTGTTTCCACGCGTTTGGACAGTCATTTGGACGCCATCACACTACTACAGGTGATC